CACTGTCTTTGCTGTTACATGTTTTGATATGGTTTACTGACATACTCATTCATTTACAGTAACTGTTTAATTTCTTTTTTGATTTGTTATGTGATCCACTGTTCAACAAGGAATGTGTTATTCAGTCTGCATGTGTTTGCATATTTTCAAGAAATCCTTATTGTGTTCAGGAAAGAGGCATGATATGGTTTCATCTTTTTAATTTGCTGAGATTTGCTTTATGGCTTATCATATGATCTCTCCTGGAGAGAATTATATGTACTGATGAGAACAGTGTGTATTCTGCAACTGTGTGCTGACAGGTTCTGTAGATATCAGTTAGGTCCATCTGATCCACAGTGTAGATTAGTTATGTTATTTCTTTGTTGGTTTTCTGTGTGGTGATCTGTGCATTTATGAAAGTGGGTAGTTGAATTGCCCTGTTACTATTGTATTGGAGTCTACATCAGCCTTTAGATCAATTAACATTTGTATTAGCCAGGTGCCCTGGTAGTTTAGTGCATATATCTATCTTCCTGTTAAATTCACCCTTTAATCATTATTCAATACCCTTCTTTGTCTCTTTTAAGAGTTTTTGTGTTAAAGTCTATTTTGTCTGATACTAGTATACACACACCTGTTAGATTTTGCTTTCTGTTAGCATGGAGTATCTTTTTCCATACTTTCACTTTCATTTTGTGTGTATCTTTTTTTTAAAGATTTATTTATTCACTTGAAAGTTAGAGTTACACACACACACAAACACACACACACGGGGGGGGGGGGGCCTTCCATCCGATGGTTCACTCCCCAGTTGGCCACAACAGCCGGAACTGTGCCAATCTGAAGCCAAGAGCCAGGAGCTTTCTTCCAGGTCTCCCTCACGGGTTCAGGGGCCCAAGGACTTAGGCCATCTTCCACTTCTTTCCCAGGCCACAGCAGAGAGCTGGATTGAAAGTGGAGCAGCTGAGCCGGCGCCTCGGCTCACTAGGCTAATCCTCCGCCTTGCGGCGCCAGCACACTGGGTTCTAGTCCCGGTTGGGGCACCGGATTCTGTCCTGGTTGCCCCTCTTCCAGGCCAGCTCTCTGCTGTGGCCAGGGAGTGCAGTGGAGGATGGCCCAAGTGCTTGGGCCCTGCACCCCATGGGAGACCAGGAAAAAGCACCTGGCTCCTGGCTCCTGCCATCGGATCAGTGCGGTGCGCCGGCCACAGCGCGCCGGCCGCGGCGGCCATTGGAGGGTGAACCAACGGCAAAGGAAGACCTTTCTCTCTGTCTGTCTCTCTCACTGTCCACTCTGCCTGTCCAAAAAAAAAAAAAAGTGGATCAGCTGGGTCTCGAACCAGTGCCCATATGGGATGCCGGCGCTTCAGGCCAGGGTGTTAACTCACTGCACCACAGCACCAACTCCATGTATATCTTTTTTTTTTTTAACAAAAAGATTCATTTACTTATATGAAAGGCAGAATTACAGAGAGGTAGAGGCAGAGAGAGATAGAGAGGTCGTCTATCCTCTGGTTCACTTCCCAGATGACTGCAATGTGCAGAGATGAGCCCAACCAAAGCTAAGAGCCAGGAGATTCTTCTGGGTCTCCCACGTGCTTTTAGGGGCCCAAGGACTTGGGTCGTCTTCTACTGCTTTCCCAGGCCATAGCAGAGAGCTGAATTTGAAGTGGAGGAGCCAGGACTCCAACCAGTACCCATATTGGATGCCAGAGCTACAGACGGTGGTTTTACCTGCTATTAAACAATGCCAGCACCTTGAGTGTATCTGTGGTGTCTGGTCTTGTTTTTTAATCCATTCAACTAATCTGTACTTGTTAATTGGAGAATGGACCATTTACATTGAAGGTTACTATAAAGAAGTAACGACTTGGCCCTTCCATTTTCCCATAAGTGTTCATATTATTTGCTTTGGATTTCCTAGGAGATTTTCTGCCTTCACATTCATTCATACATAATGATAACTAGCTGTGTTTCTGTATGTGGCATATCTTTAAGCATCACTTATAAGGCTGGACAAGTGGTGACAAACTTGCAATTTCTGTTTGTTAAGGAAGGTTTTTATTTCAACTTAATTCACAAATGAGAACTTTGCAAAGTACTATGTTCTGGGATGACAGTTTTTTTTTGTTTTTGTTTTTTGTTTTTTTTTTTGTCTTAAGACTTGGACTCTCTCTCCAGTCTCCCCTAGCCTGTAACCTTTCTGGTGAGAAATCAGCTGTGAGTCGACTGGAAATCCTCTGAAAATGATCTGGCATTTCCCTCGTGCACATTTTAGAATCTTTTCTTTGTTTTACTTTTGAAAGTTTGCAATGTGTCATGATGAAGTTCTGTTCTTTTTTATCTTCCTCTTTCTTTGTTTTATTTAAGTTATACAAGTTTCATATATATTTAATATATACAGATTTAGGATCATAGTGGGACACCCTGCCCATCTGCCCTCCCACCCACATTCCAACCTTTCCTCCACCTCCCTCTTAGATTCCCTGATCATGTCTATTAGGATTTCTATGTGATCCTTATACTGGGATGTCCCTTTCTTTGTCCAAATTAAGGAAGTTTTCTGTTATTATTTCACTGAATTTGCCTTCTCATTCATTCTCTTTCCACACATTCAGGAACTCCTACGACCTGTATGTCGATTAGTTTGATAGTATCCCATAAATCTTGACTACTTTTTAATTTATCTAATTTATTCTTTTTTTTGTTCTGATATTTTCTGTGATTTTTCAGCTAGCTCAGATATTCTTTCTTCTGCTTCACTAAGTCTGTTATTAATAGTTTCCTCTGTACTTTTATTTGAAATGTTGAACACTTCATTTCTAATATTTTAATTTAATTTTGCTTTAAAATCTCAATCTCCTGGGAAAATTTTCCATCCATATCATGTATGGATTTTGTTTACTCATGAATTTGCTTCTTATTGCTTCTGAATAATCCTATGATCATTCTTTTGAATTCCATTTCAGGCATTTCCTCAATCTCTTGGTCTTCACATTCTCATATTGAAGTGTTGTTATGTTCCATTTGGCGGAGTCATGTTATCTTTGTTATTCTTGTTTCTTGAATTTATGCCTAAGTTTTCATGCATTTGTGGAATTACTTGTTGGTTTTCTCCTCTGATACATTGTATGTGTGAATTATGCCTCTGTGGCTTAATGTAATGTCTGCTATTTCAATGAAAACCCAGAATCATGTGCTTGGTGTGGCCAGGGAGTTCTACTCAGTGCTCAGGGTGAAGTGAGACTCCAGGGTGACACCCACGTTGGGTGTGGTAGATCTCCATTGACGCAATGACAGCCTCACCTCCTGTCATCCAAAGTGATCAACGCTCAGGGTTAGCCCTCGGTGTATACACCCCTCATCCATGGTGGCACATGACCCACACAAAAGATATGTGCAGTCCTCACTGTGACCAGGGGACCCTTTGCAATGAACTACCTCAGGTGATCAGGGAGCTCTGATGTGAGACACAGGGATTGCCCAGAGAATCAGCTATACCTCACACCGTATCATGCAGTCACCGAATTCACACAATCACAGCACTCAAGGTCCTCATAACCACAGGGTTCAGAAGATATGCTCAGCCCTGGAGCTTGCCCCTTCCACAGAGAGTGTGGATGCAAGAAGTTCGCAGAGCCAGCTATTTGTGGGTGCTTTACCTTGGCAGTTTGGGCCCCAGAGCTTGTGATATATTGAGAGGATAGAAGTACCTCACAATCCTACGTGGGTGTCCAGCACCTTGTTAAACCCTCAGCAAGACTCCTAGTCAGTGGGGCAACACAGTATTTTCTCTCTGCTAAAATCCCCTTGTTACAGGCACACACAAGAACCACCACAGCCTCTGCTGTGTCAAAATGGCACTTTCTCATGGACATCACTGTGGTTTAGTCGCTTAAATCAATCTGCAGGGCTCACATCTGATATCAGCTCCAATTCAAATACTAGCTAGTCCACTTCTGACCCAGCTCCCTGCTAATGCTCTGGGAAAGCAGTAGAGGACGGCCTAAGTGCTTGGGCCCTTGCCCCTATATTGGAGACCCAGAGGAAGCTCTGGACTCTCAGCTTTGGCTTGGTCCAATCCTGGCCATTCTCACCATTGGAAGTGAAACAGCAGATGGAAGATCTCTTTCTCTCTCTCTCTGTCTCTCCCTCTGTGGCTTTCAAATAAATACATCTGTTTTTAAAAAATGGTATCTTCTCTCCATCAGCTGCTGGGTGTCTTTGTTGGGAGATGAGAAAGAAACCTGCTCATTGGCTGGATTAAGTGGCTACCCTCTCCCCTGCTCACTCTCCAGGCTGGAATCACAGAAGTGTGGTCTGAAAGGCTCTCCCTCTGACAATATCACAAGTGGCATGGGCTGCCACAGAATGCTCTTACCTCACACCCCAAAGCTGTCATCTCCTCTAGCTTCCTAGCTGTGGGTATCGTGTGTGGTGTCCATGCTTGTTGCTACCCACCCCCGGCTTCCACATTGCTTCATAGCCTCTTCCTTCTGTAGCATGTCCACCACAAACTTCCCTCCAGCTCTCCCCGGGAATGCACTTCCTCTGTTTGTCTTCTACTATTTCCCCTTGGTCAAAAATAGCACATCTTTCCCCTATTCATCCATCTTGGAATCTCCCCCATGACACACCATTCCATTTGCTAAATTAGTTGGAGAAATTGATTTTACCAGAAAGATTCAGAAGTAATGGAGCATTATATTCTAGTGAAAAGTTTAGACATAGAATCCTTAAACTTCAGAGAGTCAGTGAGGTTGCAACTCATATCCATAGCCAGAGACAGAATTAGAGGGCTACAAGTCCTAGCATTTCTGTGGCCTGTTTAACTTTGGTTGTTTGATTTAGCAACCTGTGCCTGGGCAAGAGAGGAAAACACCCAATATATTTACCTCACCCTAGTTAAAACTATATTTGTTTGCTTTGTCTCTAATTACTGAAATATGTTCTCTTACACAGGCATGGTATTTTTCTGAATGATTTGTTATCATATTTTTATACTTCTTTCCCCTCAAGGTCTCCAAAAAATGACCTAGTTGATAACAGTGTCTCTTGTGTTCAGCTTATTGTCTGATTTGAAAGGAGTGAGGAGCTTTGTCAAAGGTGTCAACAATGGCCAGCAGGGGGCACCAGAACATCCACCTGTGCAAATCCTGCTCTACTGTGTGGACCACATCACTTTTCCAAAAGTCAAGATCTCAGATAGCCAGCTTGAGTGGAGATTACAGCCAAATAGAATGGCTTGCTCCCGAAGATTTGTGAGTTCCATATTTTCTTCATGAAATCATCTAAAGTCTAGCGGACTTGTTGGCATTTTTGTCGTTCATGTCCCAAGCATGTCCCCCTGCTGACAATATCAGTTTTGAGAAAGAAGGGTCCAGGAAAGAAAAAGGCCAAGTAGATAACCCTGAATTTCCTAAAGCTGCTTTCACAGTCACTTTCTGGTTTTTTGGTAAGATTTATTTGTTTAGGCCGGCGCCACCGCTCACTAGGCTAATCCTCCGCCTAGCGGCGCCGGCACACCGGGTTCTAGTCCCGGTCGGGGCGCCGGATTCTGTCCCAGTTGCCCCTCTTCCAGGCCAGCTCTCTGCTGTGGCCCGGGAGTGCAGTGGAGGATGGCCCAGGTGCTTGGGCCCTGCACCCCATGGGAGACCAGGAAAAGCACCTGGCTCCTGGCTCCTGCCATCGGATCAGCGCGGTGCGCCGGCCGCGGCGGCCATTGGAGGGTGAACCAACGGCAAAGGAAGACCTTTCTCTCTCTGTCTCTCTCTCTCACTGTCCACTCTGCCTGTCAAAAAAAAAAAAAAAGATTTATTTGTTCATTCAAAAGGCAGAGTTACCTAGAGAAAGGGAGAAAGATCTTCCATCTGCTGATTTACTCTTCAAATGGTCACAATGGCCAGGGCTGGGCCAGGCTGAAGCCAGGAGCTTCATCTGGGTATCCTACATATGTGAAGGGTCCTAAGTACTTAGGCCATCCTCTGCTGCTGTCCCTGGTAGATTATCAGGTTGTTGGAGCATAAGTGAAGCACCAGGTTTGAACCATTATCCATGTAGGATTTTGGTTTGCAGATGGGGTCTTAACCTGCTATACCACAACACCAATCCCCACTGTTAATTGACTGAGTGAGAATTGGCAAGATTGTTAATGTCACTGCAGTTCTCGGTGTGAGTGTGTGCAGGTATTTTATTCAAGACCCAAGTAGTGTTGATACTAAGAGATCCGTCATTTTGCCCTGTCATGTCTGGTTTGCTTTAGTAATAACTTCTCATTCTTTAATCAATTTTACTAAACAAGATATTGCATAAAATAGAGGATGGAGAGAGAGAAAGGGGGCATGGAGAAACCTGCTTGGTGATGAAACTGGTATTCTCCTGTAGCTTTGTGTGGAATGGGAACTTCAGCACAAGGTCACATAAACACAGGCAGGGAGGTGAATGGGCAATTAATTGTCAGCTGCACTACTTGTTTTCATGGCTTAGAAACTCATGCCATGGGGCTCACTGGGTTGCAGTCAGTTAAGAAGCCACTTGCGATGCCAGCATCCTGTATCAGAGTGCTTGTTTGAGTCCTCACTATCTCTCTTTTCATTGAGTTTCCTGCTAATGTGCTTGGGTAAGCAGCAGAAGGCGGCACATATCCTGGGACCCCTACCACCCATGTGGGACACACAGATGGAGATCCTGGCTTCTGGTTTTGGTCTGACTCAGCCCTGGTTATAAGCTGTTTGGGCAGTGTACCAGTGGATGGAAGAACCTCCCTCTCCCTCATTTCTCCCTCTCCCTCTCCTTGTCTCACCTTTCTCTGTCATTCTGCCTTTTAAATGAATAAATAAATCTGAAAAAGACCCTCATGCCTTGCTTAGTAAAAATGACAGATAGCTGACCTTTTTCTGTCACTGGTAAATGTTCTGTGGCACTTTATGGAACCTATGCATTTTATAGCTTCTTTAAGTCTCTCCTTTGCAACTGGCCTGTACCTTGATGGATTTTATGTATGGGCACCTAGCTGAATGTCCAACAAATATACCCTTCAATGCATGCTATATGATCCCCATATGGACACAGATGTATGCCACAGCAAAATGGTCCACCCTTGGGATCAGTGCTTTGAAGAGATGCTGTGGCAGGAGGCAGACTTCTGGCTGTTTGAGAAGGCCCTTCTTGTCATGGCTGTCTGGATAAGCTCTTAAGATCAAGGACCCTTGGCCACCACAGATACTTCTCAAGGGTAAAGAGGATCAAGGGCAGGACTTTCTAATGTGGCAGGGCCAGGGAAGCAGCCTGGTTGGATCTAGTGGGATTTTGGATGTATTATGAAGAAATGGTGTGGATTCAGTCTTCTATAAGGCTCTTGAGATAAGATTCTCCACATGCCAATATCTGGAGAAATAGGGAGTAGATACCTGTTAGTTGCTATTTGACTGGAGCATAGAATACTCTAACCAAATAGATACCTAATGCAGCTATATGTTTTAAGGGATCTTAGCAAGGTACTCTATGTGTATGCACACTGAGTCTTATGGAGCCATCCTGTGACCTTGCAAACTCATCCATACTGAAGACTGCTTTAACACTGACTAGAGTTTCCAGGCTGAGGCTCCCAGATTCCTTTTGCCCAGGCTTACATCCTCCTTCTATAATGCTAGCTCTTACTGTTCCAAAGGGAAGTAATAAGGTGGCTTCCCTGGGCCTTTGATTCCATGTTGGTCTGTATTCATGTGCCACCATAACAAAGTAGTACCAGAGATGGTAGCTTAAAAACAGAAACTGATTTTGCCTAGAAGTCCAAGATCAAGGTTTTAGCAGGGCTAGTTACTTCTGAGGGCTCTTGGAAAAAGGCCTGCACCAGGCCTCTCTCCTTGTCCTACAGTTGGCCATCTCCCTGTGTCTCCACACTGGCTTCCTATTCTGCAAATCTCTGAATCTAAACCTCATTCTTTAATAAGAACACTCATGTTACAATTGTGCTCACCTTAACTTATAAATAATTGCATTTGCAATGACTCTGTTTTCAATTACAGTGACATTCAGAGGCCTGGATGGTTAGGACATCAACATATGAATTTGCTGCTGGGCACAACTCAACCAGTGATGTTCCATGAAAGAAACTACCGAAAAGGAAAAAGACCAAAGCAAGATTTCTAAGTGGTGGGATTTAGAAAGAAGGGAAGAGATGTACCTTAGGACATTAGCTACAAGCTTGTAAGTTCTCTCTCTCTCTCTCTCTCTCTCTCTCACACAAGGCTCTACCCCCAAGTCACACTGTTATACACCCTGGTAGGAAGTGGGCTAAAAGAGGGAGCCACTCGCTAGCTGGTGGTTTAAATATGACTCTGTTATAGGTGAGGATGCTCCCTGACCCCACTTATTTCTTAGAAAACAAGAATGTGAGCGTCATTCATCAAGCAAATATAGATAGGAGGCTGCTACATACCAAGTCCTTCTCCATCAAATATGCTGCCCTAATGGAACTTGCTTTCTAGTGGCAGAAGCCAGAAATAAGCAATAAACATAATAAACAAATGATAGATTCATAAGTACAAAAAGAAGAGAGTGTATGGATTGTGCAGTTGTAGTTGGAGAAAGACCAACCTGAGGGGGTCAGATGTGAGCAAAAACTTGAAGGTGAGAGGGAGTTGGTCTTGGCCGGGGCATGGGAGGAGCCTTTGCCAGCTGCAACAGAGAGCAGCAGCTTCAGAAGGCCTCTGTGGCTAGAGGGAAGTGAGCAAGGAAGGGGAGGTGCAGGAAAGGAGGTCAAAATGTGATGGGAGAAGGGTCACGTCGATCATTGTGGACTTGGCTTTAGCTGGGTGTGTTGGAGCAGGGTTTTGAGCTAAGCAGCAACATGTTGTGTGACATGCTTGCGAAGGCTCACCTTGGGTGGTCTGGAGGACAGACTCCAGATGGTGAGGGTGAAAGCAAGAAAACTGGAGAGGCAGTTACAGCATTGCAGAGGAGTGGTGCCATGGTTTGGTGCCAAATGGCAGCAGTGGAGGTGGTTCTTTGCTTGAACTGGTCATCCTTACCACAGTTTCTTACTTCCAAGGCATTGAACCAAAATTGCCTGAGTGCATCCTCCTTCATGAATGCTTTGTTCTGGCCCTCAACCAAGATCTGACTCATACTATCTAAAGTGAGTTACTGTGGTTTTCCCTTCTAGTCACTGCTGAAGAGCCATCTGTCCATTCCAAAGTTGAAGTTGTACCAGGGGTAGCATTCTTTTTACAATATTGCAGGAGTACTTAAGGGAATCCCATTTCATTCCTAACCTAAGATGAGGCAGTTGTAAGCTCCTGGGTTAACTCAATGATACTGTATTTTTGCTGTTATCAACCATTTTGTCACATAAAACTTTCTTGTAGGCACTATTCCTAATGCATGGCTCCTGAGCTATGGACAAGAAAGTTTCCATTGTGCACACGTATGTTGTTGTAGCAGTGCTTGGTCTCCGCATTGTGTGAGATTGTTGGAACATCAAAAATTAGTCTTCTCACACCTATGCCAGTTCTATGATTCAGACTTCTAGTTCCTTTAATATGAGACTGGGCCAGCACCACAGCTCACTAGGCTAATCCTCCACCTTGCGGCGCCAGCACACCGGGTTCTAGTCCCATTCGGGGCGCCGGATTCTGTCCCGGTTGCCCCTCTTCCAGGCCAGCCCTCTGCTGTGGCCAGGCAGTGCAGTGGAGGATGGCCCAAGTGCTTGGGCCCTGCACCCCATGGGAGACCAGGAGAAGCAACTGGCTCCTGCCATCAGATCAGCACGGTGCGCCGGCCGCAGCGCACTGGCCGGCCATTGGAGGGTGAACCAACGGCAAAGGAAGACCTTTCTCTCTGTCTCTCTCTCACACTGTCCACTCTGCTGTCCACTCTGCCTGTCAAAAAAAAAAAAAGAGTATGAGACTGGAGGTATTGCATGCTCTGTAAGATTCTAGCAGATGTTTATGTAGCATTGTGTGCCTGTATGCATTCAGGATTATTGTACATATTCAAATACTTCCTATAGGGGAAGGATAGGAACACGAGACAAGTTGATGTTCCCAGTTTAAAAATCTAGTGGTAGAGCTTGGAGATTTTTTAAAAAGCTATTTATTTATTTGAAAGAGTTATGGTGAGAGAGAGACACAGAGATATTCCATTGGTGGTTCACACCCCAAATGGCCAAAATGCCTGGGGTTGGGACAGGCTGAATCTAGGAGCCAGAAGCTCTGTACAGGTCTCTCACTTTTGTGGAAGGGGCCCAAGCACTTGGGCCATCTTCCACTGCCTTTCTCAGGGCATTAGTGTGGAGCTGGATTGGAAGTTTTAGGAGCCCGGACACAAACCAGTGCCTATATGGAATGCTGGCATCAGATTTGGTGGCTTTACCCACTACACCAAAATGCTGGCCCTGAGTTTGAAGAATTCTTGGGAGATCATGGTCCTGCTGGATTCTGGTAGTTATTGGAGGATTATTCTCACATGAGTTCACGTTCTTGCTGCTTGGAAGCTGAGGTCTGAGGACATGGTGTGGACAGGGCTGGGACCTTCTGAGGCCTTGCACCTCCACAGGTACATACTGGCTCTCACTGTGTCTCCACCTGCTCATCCCTGTGTGTGTCTGTGTCAGAATGTCCTCTGCTTCTGGGACAGAAGCCACACCGCCTTAGGAATCACCCATGGCTTCACGTTGAGTGTCTCCAAGTGCAGTCACCTTCCGGGGTACTGAGGATTAGGAGACATGACTCAGGGAGTGACAGTATGTGACTCTTGCTGTTTTATGGCTCAGATCATCCCACGTTGGCCTAGGCTTCCTCTGCATCAGCTCTGGTGCCCCTCCTCAGGCCCCCTTCAACTGTGGGCATTTTCTCTCTGGTCCCAGGCTGTTCCTGTCCCTTCTCTAGCCCTAACATCATCATTTCCCCAAAGAATCCTCACTGCTTCCATTGGATGGTGGGAGCTGCCTCCCTTGGGGCAAGTCTGTGATCTGGGGGTGCTGGCATCTGTGAGGGAGCAGAGGAGCGGGGCTTGAATTTTTTCTTCCCAAAGAAACCTTTTATTTAATGAATACAAATTTCGTAAGTACAACTTCAGGAATATTATGATTCTTACCCTCATACCTACTCTCCCACTCCCAACCCTCCTCTTCCTCCCTCTCCCATTCCCAGTCCCATTCTCAGTTAAGAAAAAAAAGCCAATAAACTATTCCTTGAATATGGCACAGGGGGCTGGCACTGTGGTGTAGCAGGTAAAACCACCACCTGCAGTTCCAGCATCCCCTATGGGTGCCAGTTCGAGTCCCAGCTGTTCCACTTCTGATCCAGCTCTCTTCTATGGCCTGGGAAAGCAGCAGAAGATGGTTTGGGTCCTTGGGTCCTTGCTTCCACGTGGGAGACCCAGAGGAAGCTCCTGGCTTAGGACTGGCACAGCTCTAGCCATTGTGGCCAATTGGGAAGTGAACCAGCAGATGGAAGACCTCTCTCTCTCTCTCTCTATCTCTCTCTCTCTCTCTCTCTCTCTCTCCAGACTCTCCCTCTCCTTCTCTCTCTCTGTAACTCTGACTTTTAAGTAAATAAATAAGTCTTTTAAAAAAAGTGACACAGTATTGAAAGAAGCGGCTGTGAGCCACCATAAAAGTAGCCTTAATAAAAAAAAATGGGGCTCCTGAGACAAACAGTTCCAGAGACGGCCTTGGGAAATGGGGAGTAAACCGGTTCACAGAGAAAGCAGTTAGCTACTAACCAGAGATACGGGCAACAGAACATCCTTCTATGTAGATAAGCCCCCTCCCCTGTGCTTGTTCAAGCTTAACAAAGAAACCGTGAGGCACGTAGGGCACGTAGCCATCCCTTTCTGCTCTTCAAGGACAACCTCCCCTTGTCCAAGCTTAGACACGTAGGGCACGTAGCCCCCGTTTCTCCTCCTCCTCGATGACCTCCTCCCATTGTAGTTACCCAATAAACTTACGCCACCCTATGGTATGTTAATTTTGTGGTTTTGCCCCTTAAAAGCTGTGTGAGATAGCTGCTCGGGGCTCCTCTCTCTTTCTCGCTGCTTGCAGCAGCAGAGGGCCCATTTGCGCAAATGAAATAAAATTACCTCCTGTTCTATTGCATCGTCTGGTCTGGAGTCTGTGTTTCTGGGGTCGTCACAAGAGGACACTGCTTTTGGGGTCCTACATTTGGGGGCTCGTCCGGGATTTGGGGGACCCCAGACTCCCACACTCCATCGGCCAGACAGAGGTAAGTTTGCTTACTTGTGTATCATTGTAACTGTGGTTTGTACTGTTTGTCCTTGTCTGCCAGGACGACGTGGAATCCGTCCTGGGGCGCCTGTACAGGCTCAGTACTGACTGGACCGAAGGGGGAGACAGACGTGTCCTGAGGCCCCTGGTCCAACCCTGGAGGACGCTCCAGTGGTGGTCTGGGAAGGAGGGAAAGAGGGAATTTCCCTTCTGATGACGGCCGCTCCCTTCTGATAGTTTTTGTTTTGTCTTGGTCTGTTGCTGCGCGGCTTGTGATTTCAGACGTGTCCTGAGACCCCTGGTTCAACCCTGGAGAACGCTCCAGTGGTGGTCTGGGAAGGAGGGAAAGAGGGAATTTCCTTTCTTCCAGGGGAGAGCCTGGCCAGACTGCCGCTCCCTTCTGATAGTTTCGGTTTTGTCTCGGTCTGTTGCCGCGCTTCTTGTGATTTGTGTTCTGTGTGTCGCTGTTTTTGTTGTCCTTTATTTCTTACTGTCTCCCCCATCTGTTTTTATTGTTGTGTTTGATTGATAGATGTATACTTGTGTGAAAAATGTGTATTGTATTCTTATAATGTGTTAATTATGTCTACTTCTCAATGCAACTCTAGGGCCAAATGTAAGGACAAATTTTTGGGCTGGAGAGGCTTGTGCCTAGATTTGGCTCTGGTAACCAAGAAACTTTGCTGCCGAATGACCTTCTCCTGCTCCTTGGGAGCCTGGCCAGTTCCCGGGGAGGAGGATAAAGGAATGTTTTCTGATAAACAGGTGGGCATGCTTCATGTCTCGGCTCTCTGGCCAAGACCCGAGATGGGACGCACTGCTTGCCTAAAATCTTGGCAATGAGCCACCCTTGTCCTTGGAGGCTTTAGGGGGGAGCTGGAGCAAGCCTCTGTTGCTGCTGTTTCATCCTGGGGGAACACGCAGTCAAGCTGAATGTTAAATGTGCCCGTAATGATTACATGATCAATTGGCTACTGTG